TTCTCTCTCTCTCTCTCTCTCTCTCTCTTTTTTTCTTCTTTTTTGGACGTTCACGCTTTGCAATGAATCCCTTTTATCCTCCAATGTAAAGTAAGAGAAACGGAGAGTCGAAGAGAAAAAAAAATAGGGGAGGAAAGTGAGCGTAAAAAAGAGCCAGGAGTTTAATCAGGATCAGCCCTCAAGCTTTTTTCTCTCTTTCTCTTTCTCTTTCATTCTTTTTTACACCTTTGCTCTCTCGTTCTCTCTCTCTCTCTCTCTCTCTCTCTCTCTCTCTGTCTCTCTTTTGTGTCATTCTCACCATACATTCGTCCGTACCATACCGCTGCCCAAAACAATGCCATAATTAAACGGACAATGTACAGTCATGATTAAGTCCCGCTTTACACGCAGGATACCATTTTCAATCATGACTTTTATTTCGACTTATATCTCTAACTTTTCATACGAATTTCATGACAATCAAAGTCTTTCCAAACGCTTTATCATCATCGTTACAACGGCAAATCATATCTTTACCGTTCAAATCTGAAATATATTTCGATGGATTTCCAAGAAAAAAAATTGAAAAAAAAAAAAAAAAAAAGAACAAAAAGAATTATACTCTACGATATATTATATATACTCGATATAATTTTTCAATTGTACGAAATAATTGATAAGATAAAAAGAAGAAGGAAAAAAAAAAAAAAAGAAATAAAAGACAAAAAAATTTACAAATATATACAATACAAGAATATATAAAATTAAAGAAGAAAAATAAAAGACTGGAAAAAATTTTATAAATAAAACGAAGAGAGATTGGCTGCCTCCTTCTTCAGTTGGTCCTTCCGAAAAAAAAAAAAGAAAGAAAGAAAGAAAAAAGAACAAACAAAAAAAAAAAAAGAAATAATCTAACCATTTTGAAAAGGAAAAATACGTGGACAATCAAGACCTTGATTGAAGTAACGATAACAAATATTAGACAAATATTTGCGAAATTTCGCGGAACAACATATTACAGTATATCCTCATTTCGATAATTTACTTGATTATATAATACAAACACTCACCGCAGTAAAATCACGTAGGGTAATCTCGACGACTGTATCCATTTGTGCTATAGGAGGATTATCATCCTGATCCAATATATCGATTTCCAAAATACGTAACAAAGCATACTGCATCCCAGTAATTTCCTCATAAACGAGACAACGTACTTGAATATTGACACGTGGTCCTGGACCACCTGCTGGACCAAGGACATCGCGATCCAACGATGAGTTCGCATAAAGCGTATTGTTTATCACGTGGAAATAATTTGTTCCTGGTAATGGGACAATGAGAAATTTGTAAAAACAATTTTTTTTCTTTCTTTTCTTTTTTTTTTTTTTTTCTAAATTAATTAATCAAACTCGAATAACGTGGAGGATCATCGTGAATCACTTCTGGACTTTTTCCAATGAGTGATCTCACAAAAAAAAAAAGAAAAAGAAAAAATAAATAAATAAATAAATAGAAACGAAATAAGAAAAAGAAGATTGCATGTTCCATTCCAAATTATGCAACAACGTGCGAGTATCAATTGCGAGAAAAAATATTGCACAATTCCTGGCTCTCTTCTTCTTCCTTGGTTCTTTTTTTTTTCTTTTTCTTTTTCTTTTTCTTTTTCTTTTTTTTTTTTTGTATTCCACCAAATCCATTTACTTTTTGTCTTTCTTTCTTTCTTTTTATTTATTTATTTTGTTTTTTCTTGTTGACATCTGTCCTAGGGAATCTATATGTTCTTTTTTTTTTTTCTTCTTTGAAATTAATTACCATTCAACAATTTGTATTCGATAATACGAAAATTTGGACAAATATCCGTATAAACTTCTGGCCCAAATTGACCGAGCATGGTCACAGGTTGATTCTCATAAATGCTGTATTGCGAGGAATTCCAAAAACACATATCCTATAAAATATATGGAAAAACAATGGATAAGTTATTTTTAATGAATTAATAATAATAGCAATAATAATAATAATAATAATAATAATAATAATAATAATAATAATAATAATAATAAATAATGGGTAGATTGACATTGTTAGAAACAATTTATAAAAGAAATCTAAAATAACGATATATATATATATATATATATACCTGTACGTAATCGGCACAATTTATTTTATTCTGCTTGATTGGTAATGATTGTACTTTTATATTCAGAACGTCGACGTCGCCGGCATTTTCCTTCGCCTGAACGATAATGTCATCGGATACGTCTTGGTAAATGAAAGAGAGAGAAAAAAAAAGAAAAAGAGGAAAATGTTAGAAAAATTTCCTGCTATCTGATCGATATAAAGATCAAAAAGAAGAAATAAAAAAAAAAGAAAAAAAAAAGAAAAAAAAAAGAAGGGATGGAGACAGGAGGAGGGAGAAAACGAATCCTCCCACCCCATTATCCCACCCTAGTATAAACTTACTATTCTTCGGAAGAGTTCGTAACCAAATTGTATTGGTCTTTTCATCGAGGATCGCAAATCTTTCACGTTGAGCAGAAATACGATATTTCACGTCTTTCGGTATCGTCGAATCGTTTCGAAGTGTCCTGAGTGTCAATAATTTTACGTTCGAATTTAAATCAACATCCTTATTTGCCAAATATGGTAATCTCAATATTAAATTTGATTGTGGAAAATATAATGCTGAAACAAAAATTCGAAAGAATTATTTATACGAAAGAAGAAAATAATTTACTTCGTTTCAAATTATTATTAAATAAATTTTGAAAACGTAACTTTGAATTTTTTTTTTTTTTTTAAACGTAACTTTGTATTTCTTTTTTTTTTTTTTTTTTTTTTTTTTTATGTAAACAATTGTTCTTCAAACAATAATATTTTTATAATATTATAAATAATATAATATTATTAATGTTGTGTGTATTATATATATAATATTATTTTTGTATAATTCTTCGTTATTATATTTGTCTCTATGATACAACAAAAATTATTTCAATCTTGATTATTCATAAATTATATTTACTTATTTCTTTTTTTTTTTTTTTAATATTGTTTAAAGAACGATGATTGCAATATTAACGATATCATGTAAAGTCTATTTGATTTTTTGAAGATAATTGAAACGAGAACGATCTAGATATGAATTTTTCTCGAACGATCACAAATCGATTAATTACGATTTCAATGATAAATAATATCGATCGAAGAGAAATTGATTGCTCGCGTATCAAAAGATTCCTTCACGATATTTTCTAAGAGATTTCTAAAACGATCGAACGTGGTATTTACAACGATGGCGGAACAATACTCCGAGGATATCCAATGGAGTTCTCTCTCTCTCTCTTTCTTTCTCTTTCTCCTCGTAAAATGAACTAAACGAGTTGTCTCTATGGCGTGGGTGTTACATACGCGAATTTCCGGAAAATAATAGAAAGGTTAGATAACGCGTTAGCTCGATAAATTTCACTGATGACTACATCAATGTACCTAGGCCCAACCCATTTTTTTCCCTTTTACATTAAATCCTTAACATTTAATAATCGTCGAATGAACGAGCCTCTCTCTCTCTCTCTCTCTCTCCAATTAATTCTTACTGATAAATAAATAAATTTTGAAGATTTATTAAGCTAACGAAATTCAAGATTTTATCGTGAGTAAAGAAGAAAAAAAAAAAAAAAAAAAAAGGAAGAAAAAAAAACAAGTGAAAGAACAAAAAAAAATACATATACACATACGTATTATATCATTCTAATATATTATTATTATTTTTTTTTTTTTATTTTATTAACAAATGCAATTAAAAGTTGACGATATAAAGAAAAAAAAATTAATTTCTCTGTATGACTTGCATTAATAAGAATGCAATCGTTAACTTCTTATTCTTTCGATCGATTACGATCATAATAGTATCGGACAAAAATTCTTTTTATGATTTTGATACGGTTCAAAAATTAATTATTCTTTCGAATAAAAAAAAAAAAAAAAATAAAAAAAAAAAAAAAAAAAAAAAAAAAAAGAAAATAAAAACAAAAGAAAAAAAAAAGGGAAAGAAAGAGCAACAATATCTTTCCGTATATAATTTCAAACGCGGAAGAAACCCCGATATCGATGTACTCGTTTAAATCGTCTTTTAATAAAATTTCCTACGGGTATTGTGTGTAAGACTTTAGGGAGAAATTTTATAAGTCGAGCAAAGAGATAGCTTCGGTGGTATGAGGGTGCCTTTACCTTTTAGGGAACGTTTGGGATAGAAAAGTTTCTTTAATCTTTCAGGAAGTAGAATATACACAAGCGAGGGGATGAATATCGTCGGTTAAAAAACTGAATCTTAAGGGATCATCGAAGCGAGAAGAATACTTTTTTTACTAAGTTACGTGTTGTCTCTTAAAGAGAAAAGGAGATAGAAATATAAAGAGGGAAATCAAATTGAGATTATTTTTTGTAGATAAAAGAATCTCACGTAATCGTCGATTTCTCTTAACCCCCCATCTTCGAAGGGAGGAGAGAGAGAGAGAGAGAGAGAGAGTTACGAAAGTAAAATAGCAGTTGGATGAGTAAAAACCTCTGGATTCTTTCTACACAATCGTAGCTAAAAAGATCTGATTCGATACTTTTCAAAGTGTACGCGATATTCCACCCCCTTTCTTCTTTTCTTCTTCTTTTTTCTTTTTTCTTTCTTTCTCCTCTCTCTCTCTCTCTCTCTCTCTCTCTCTCTCTCTCTCTCTCTCCCTCTCTTTTTCTTATGGATGCATCCTTTTATACGTTTCTTCGACGGCGACGAATACGATGGCATCGAAACGTTGAATAAAATATGTTTTGAAATATTCCGAAAGAGTGACTCTCTCTCTCTCTCTCTCTCTCTCTCTCTTTCTGCCCCATCGTTCGTAAGGACGAAAAGATATGGAAAAGCTTTTCAGTCGATGAACACGAATAAAGATATTCGAAGAATTGAACATTCTTTGAAAATGATTTCAAATGAAACGAGAAAAAAAGTATTAATAAAAAAAAAAACAAAAAAAAACAAAACAAACAAAAAACAAAACAAACAACAAACAAAACAAAACAAAAGAAAAAGAAACAAAGAAAAAAAATTCCTCTTCGAAGGTAACATTACTTAATTAAATCTAATTGTATCAAGAGAATAAATGATTAATTTGCAATTTCAATGAAAAAAAAAAAAATATTCGTCGAACTAACTGCGAATTATTTTATGATCTTTCGACATAAAAAAAATCTTTCGGATCTCTTCTTCGAAGTCTTTATATACCAACCCTCCCCCCCCACCCTTTTTTTGTCCAATCATTCAAGATGATTGTCCCTTAGAACGAGGAAAATATAAATCTTCGTACTTCGATGAAAATTTCTAAAAAAAAAAAATGTTTTTTCTCCCTATTTAGCCATTACATTACTGTTGATATTTGTACTCAAAGGTATTTGATTCGTACGAGGAATCACCAATAACGACACCGGCACAGGGTCTTCTTGTGTCAAGGTGAACGTTTAATCAATATACACGGGGCAGTTAATTTTAATCCCAGGATCGCGTGCGTGCCAGTAGACGGAACGATTACGAGCGTTTTTACGATCCTTCGCTACGAGCCTTTCTAACCCTCTCCGTAGCCATCTTAACACGATTTTACGTAGATAAAGCATATTATCTTCGATATTTATTTCATAATATTCTACCTTTGAAACGAGAGAAAAAAAAAAAAAAAAAAAAGGTACAACGTTTGCATGCATCGATCTATGCATATTTATCTTTTTTGTTTTCTTCTTTTTATTCTTTTTTTTTTCTTTTTCTTTTTCTTTTCTTTTTCTACCAGATTAAGGAAAAAAATTATGCGCTTCGTTACGTAAAAGTAGATTTATTTTGTATTTTTTTTTTTTTTTTTTTTTTTTTTTTTTTTGTTATGTATTTACCTAATTTAGGATTTTCGTTTTATCTTTAATTCGACAATCGCCGTTAAACCAAAAATAAATAATAATATTCGATTCGATTAAATAAAAAAAAAAAATATATATATATCCATCTATCTATCGTTTAATAATTTCAAACGAATCCAATAATGAACGAAATGCCATGACGTTTCATATCCGTTTCGTTCTAATATAAAATTAATTAGAGAATGATAAGAGAAAAAAAAAGAAAAAAAAAGGAAAAAAAAAAGAGAAAAAAAAAGGAAAAGGAACAAAACAAAACGAAATGAAGCAATATCTTTCGCGTTTAATAATTAAAACCAGGCGCGTTTGTGGTTTATCTTTACTGAACTATTTAAAGAAACAAAAAAAAAAAAAAACAAAAAAAAAAAAAAAAGAAAAAAAGAAAAAATATTCGAGAGAATAACAAATAACGTGTGACTCGGGAGTGATACGATAAAAGTTGGCGAAGGTACGATAGCCGCACATCGTTTCAGTATGCTTCCTGAGTGAGTATAAGGGTGGCTTTAAAAAGGCGGTAGGAAAGGGGTGGGTCACGCGAAAGTCGAGTTAAACTCGGGAAAAGAGGGTTGATGATGGTGGTGGTGGTGGTGGTGGTGGTGGTGGTGGTGGTGGGTGGGTTGGATGGTTCCGTGTACTGCTGGTCGACCGACCATCGACACGTCACACATACACACTCCTATACTATCTATTTCTTCGACACACATATAGACTTACGTCACGTAGAAACATATACAAACGTACAAACATATATACGTACGTATATAAGTTGGATATAAGAAGTAAAGATTTGCACGGAGGTAATGTTGTGCAAAGCTATGTATATTAAATACAAACGAACGATACGTATAGCGTGTGTCCAGAAAGTCCCTCGTAATCATAATCGACTATATACGATTTAGTATAGTAATAGCAGTAGTAACAATAGTAGTAGTAGTAATAGTAATAGTAATAGCAGTAGTAGTAGTAAATAGTAGTAGTAGTAGTAGTAGAGAGAGAAAGAGTATATCGTATGTTGAATTCTTCGCGTGTTTAACGTAGGAATCATTTGCATATTCAAGATCACGCTCTTATCTCTCTCTCTCTCTCTCTCTCTCTCTCTCTTCCTCTCTCTTTCTCTCTCTCTCTCTCTCTTTCTCTCTCTCTTTATCTCTCTCTTTTTCTTTTTCTTCTCTTTGAAACAATATCTCGTATTTTTTATTTCACTGGTATCACAATTAAACTACTATACCGGTTAAGAAAAGTATAATTATAATGAAATTAAAAAGGAACGTAAGTGAGTTCCCTGAATGAAATAAAAATAATGTTTCAATCGTGGATATAAAATGTTACAAAGGAACGAGTAAAAATAGAAAAGGGGAACATAATTTCTCAACGAAACGGAAATAAAGGGCATGATTCTAATGGAGAAAGAGAAAGAATGAGAGAAAAAAAGAGAGAATGTGTGAGAGTGAGAGAGAGAGAGAGAGAGAGAGAGGAAGCATTTGAAAAGAAGATATTTGTGTCCACGCGTCTTCGGCAACAGCTTTCACTGATCCCACTTTATTGGCGTTTCGTTGAACGTTAATCCCACAAAACCCTATGGAACCTCTATAAATTGTATATTCCTCGTCTAGAGATGCTTAAGGTTGTGGTAAACCAAAGTTTATTAACAGATTCCACAATTTCCTTAACACATTTATAGTTCCCTAAACGATACCAGAATAAATATTGTAAGTACATAAAATATCTTTCTTGCATATCTT